CACCACCACCACCACCACCACCACAAATGGCGATTCCATATTTTCATCGACACCAGTATGGCCCACAATCGATGGCCCCCTCGGCCTTTCGGAGGACGAATCTGTGACGTATGCCCGGCGGTTCTACAAGTTTGGTTACGCCCTGCTGCCGTGGCTCTGGGCCATCAATTGCTTCTACTTCTGGCCTGTTCTCCGGAACTCTCGCTCCTTTCCTCGCCTTCGGCCCTGTAATCTCTCTCTCTCTCTCTCTGTGGATATACCTGTTATTCTTTTTCGCATTCTGGCGATTTGTCTCATCTTCTTCCTTTTCCTATGAATTGTTATTGCATCATCTCGTGGCGTGGAAACATATTTCTATTCATTATCATGGAGTTCTTTGAAATATGATTTTCTTCTTGATGCCATTTGAGAAATCGTAACAAATAGTTTTGTTTGTGTTGTGATCTTCCTTGTTTTGACCTATTATTTATTCTACACAGTACAGGCTACAATACAGAAATTAGTTTTCCTTTGACTTGACAATAGCCATTACCCATAATTTCAATTTCGGAATTCTACAACTGTAATAATCTGCAACTTCTAGTTCTAAACGGGCTGGTAAAATCACCCCAGTTTACTTTAAGAGAAGATTGATAGGCAGCTGGATTGCTGAGAACTCAGGAAATGATTCACTAGTGAGATTTCTTTTCACAGAGATAGAGGTTTAGTGTAATTTTTTTTTGTAAGTATCATACTTTTTCTGTCATCGTAAGAACTAAGAAGTTTTTGTTTGTTGAGTCACCATTAATCATGACAACATGATTTAATGAGTATCTTTATTTTTTGGTTCTTAGTTTGTACAACTCTTGAAGCAAAGCGTGAATATGCAACTCATAAATGATTGACATTCTTTATTTCATTTCAGTTGGCTCACTGTGAGTGCCTAGTGTGTATTTTTTCAGTTTGATATTTTATGGTTTTTACCACCACTATTTGGATGGGCATTTTATACTTAGATTTAGATTGTTGGTGCATTCATAATAAGCAGAGGAATGCTCCAGCTAATGATTTAGATGCTTCTCCTAGCGCATAGTTTCTAAGCTGTATTTCATACCCTTTTTGCCTGTTTTCCATAAGATGTACGGTGCATGTACTCCACACTGTCTCCTATGCATTAGTGCCTCCAATTTAAATCATTCTTTAGCCTATTCTCATCTGTCTTTCCAATTTTGCGAGACTATTTTTATTGAATTATGTTTTTACCTGTTATAAAGGTTCAGCTTGTTTTATGGGTTTAAATTTGAGTTTATACTTCACGTTGCAATTATTTTACATAACATTAGTACATTTTTTTCTTCTTTTTCTCAGGATGTTTTGCACCAGATTCCATTCCATTTCTACCTTTTACTTAAAAAAAAAAAAAAAAATTTTTTTTTTTTTTTTTTTATCAGTGAGTAAATGTAGTTTTGAATCTCATTTTTGGGGAAAAATTCTTTGTAGAAATTCATTTTTCATAAAATGATAGTAGATAAACTCTTTTTTGTGGGAGAGAATAGAAGTATATATGTGTCATTGTTGTCTGACGACAGATTGCAGTCAGTCAGTTGAACCTTACCTGTTCTGTCTGGTTGTGGTTTGATGGTTTTCAAGTTTTAATGCAAAAATCCATTTGCA